TAATACAGAATGAAATTATGTTATAAATTCATACTAGTGGACCAAGGAAGGAATAGGCTAGGAGTAGAGAACTAGAAGTAGGGACCAAACCCCTTCCTCCTTTCAACAATATTAACATATTGTTATGTAGTAATTTAAAACTACACTGTAGTATGTACAGTGCTTTTTTCTGGGGAGACGCAGGGGTATGCATACCCCTAAACATTTTGTGAATCTAAGTTTGGCCTCATTGAGGGGCAGTATTTCAATACAAGTAGGAAAATGAGAGTACCTAAACATTTTTTTATAGAAGAAAAGCACTGAGTATGTAGTAATTTAGGTTACTGTTATGTAGTAATTTAAAACTGGATCCACAACTGCACCACTTTGTTAGTGGGGGGGGGATGAGGGAAGGAATTTCACTTACTTTTAAAGAGCGGATTAGTTTGAAATTCTCCAACAGTTTGGCAGGAGCCTGAAAAAGAAAAAGAATTTAGTAACTTACCAGAAATTTATGTTCTGAGGTTTTTCAACCCATCCCTTGGTGATAAAGGTTCAAGATGTTTTACTCAAATGTTTTACTGTTTGGCCTGTACTGATAAAATTACCATAGTAGCTATGAGGTATAAATAAATGATAATGTCACCATTTGGCACACTTGGACGGCTGTCAGGAACACATTGCTCTGACAGAGCCCACTACAGTATTTTCCTAACCCAATGCTTTGGGTAGTTGGGTCTAGCTACCATTAAAATTCCCCACAGTCCGTCCAATGCAGTATTATTCTGGGTTATTGTAATGAATTTAAATCGCAGTTCTGAAGCACCTGCTGCAAACCTATTTGCCCACTTGAGAGGAAGCTGCCAGCCAGAGGGCTAATTTCATGAAGACATCAGACCTAGGGCTCCTTGAGGTCAATGGGGCTTGCTCTCAGCCAGGTATATTGAACTGCAGCCTGGATCTACCTTATTATAGGCTCGCTTCTGAAACAAATAATCTCATATACATTGGTTTCAGTAGGATTATACCTGCTAGTAAAGCTCAGGAACTGCATAAGACTGTTAGCGTTGTTAAGAGACCGATTCCTTCAAAGAATGACAAAAGCTCAACCTTATTCCACGGATATTTTAAGGTGGTGAGGAAGAGACTATTGTAGTTCTTTCAATGAGGCCTCACTAACTGGCAAAACGATGTGAAAACCGAAACAGCTAGCTCCATTTTTAGAAAAAGATCAGAGAAGCTAAAACATCTCTCTTTGTTCCCATTTTTCCTTTGAATGTGCTAGGTATATGGCTGAATTCTACCTTTGGTTTAAAGTGTGAACATAATCCAGTTACCACCCTGAACTGCACTCGCTCCTTTAAAGTTAAGCTACATTGATGATGATGATGATGATGATGATGATGATGATATATTTGTACCCCACCCATCTGGCTGGGTTTCCCCAGCCACTCTGGGCGGCTACCAACCAAGATTAAAAATACATTAAAATGTCACACATTAAAAACTTCCCTAGGGTTTTACTTTGGAGTAAAGATCAGCTGCAAAGCAAATCTGTATCCACAAATCATTTCCATTCAGGGATAGCTTTACTTCCAGATTTAAAAATCAGCTTAAGAATCAACCAGAGAGAAATTACTTTGATTCATTGTGAAAGCTAAGCAAGTCTCAGCAGGGTGAGGATTGGGGGCTGGGAGACCTGCTACCTAGCAGCTCCCACCGTACACCGCTCTGAACTTCCTGAACAAAGGACAGGATTGAAGTATAATAATAAAAAATGAACACCTTATGATGATGTTACCCCTGAGAATGCTGCACTTGCTGTGACAAGTAGAGTCTATCTACCCTTCCTGGCATTATGCTGCTCTAGTCTGTCTACTAGACTTCCTAAATGGCCAGATTAAAAACAAACAAACCTCAAACCCAGCTTGTCCTGTCTTGTCCCTTCTGGTTTAGTTAGCAGCAGCTTAAATGGGTAGCAGTTGTGAGACATGGCTAGAGAAGTCGCACAGTTAAGGCTGCCAGTTTTTTTTTCTTCCTTTCAAGGTTATTGGGCTTCTCCAAAAGCAGGAATGTTTTGTATTTGTTATGTACTAAGCTTGGATCCTAGTACAATAGGCAAGTAGGGTCCTAGAACGCAACAACTGATTGGCTTGCAGGAGAAGACCAATCAGGCTCCCGGAGGAAGTTAATCAGCCTATTAGGCTGGTAGGATCGCAGAATGCAACAACTGATTGGCCTGCAGGAAAAGACCAATCAGGCTCCAGGAGGGAAGCAGAATCAGCCAATCAGACGGACTCATTGTGTAAATAATGTATATAAAAGCCTGAGGTTTGGGGGGGCAATTCAATCACTGTTTTATAAGCTGCAATAAAGTGCATGAAATCACTACAGGACTCCCGAGTATATTTCGGTATTCAACTATACTCATACCAAGTAGTTCCAAATTATTTATCAAATGACAGAGGTGACATTGAAATCTGATGGATTATCATTGCTGAGTTGCCCAGAGGATGGGTGTTAAATAGAGTGACTAAAATGTTACTTATTAATCTTCTTATGGTGTGTGGTGCAGGGGAGGGAATTATTGGCACACAACTGTAGAAGCTATTAAGGAAGGGCTGCTAACAGTGTTTGAACTGGCGCAAAGGTAGAAATTTTATTCATTTCTTTTAACAATTTATGTACTGTTTAACACCATAGTTATGAACGCAAGAGCCTGCTGGATCAGGCCAATGGCCCATCTAGTCCAGCATCCTGTTCTCACAGCGGCCAACCAGATGCCACCCGGCTCCAGTTCATTCTCAACCAAACCTTGATATAGATATGAACTGTGGAAAGGCTTTCTGCCTCAACTTCAGTGTTTCTTTGTGGTTACACACCATTCTAAGCATTCCTGTTGATGGAATATTTATTTGACTTCTATTCATTCGTGACATCTTGCACGAATTATATGGCTTTTGTTTGTGAATTAAGAAACAATTGATAGTGTTTCATAAATATTGCCAGTACATTATTAGCCTAAGTGTTGCCTTTTGTTGATCAGTCAATATTAGAAAAGGCACCCATTCATGGTATAATGGAATCAGCATGGTGGCACGAAAGGTTTGTTATCACTGCGGTTTATGAAATACAGTGTTTGTCATACGAATGCAACTTTACAGCAGGCAGAAATTCAACAGGTGAATGGTTTGAGACATAGTAATATAAAGCACACAAAGTGTATACGAATGTCATGCATACATTTAAAGGCACAGGAAGCCTTTATTTGAAAGAAGGTAACAACTCTAAGGCAATAGAAGAGTCCTGATTGCCCATATTAGCCTTCTAATTCCAGCATGTTCTTATCCCAATCGAGATATGGGCATGCTCTTTTATTTGTGTGCCAATTCGGGCATACTGACTTTGTGCAGACTCAAGGGAAAAGGGAGCAAACCCAGGGTGTCCCCATTTCTTGTGTCTGGCTTGCGACCCTGCTGATAAAAAGTCTGGCCAGATTAAATGTTGGCCACCTTACACTGCACTCTTAAGTACACATAAAAGGACGTGGGTGGCGCTGTGGTCTAAATCACTGAGCCTCTTGGTCGGTGGTTCAGGGTGAGCTCCCGTTGCTCTGTCCCAGTTTCTGCCAACCTAGCTGTTTGAAAGCAAAGCAGGGCAAGTAGATAAATAGGTACCTCTGCGGCAGGAAGGTAAACGGTGTTTCCGTGCGCTCTGGCACTCGTCATGGTCCTCCATGTGCCAGAAGCAGTTTAGTCATGCTGGCCACATGACCCATAAAGCTGTCTGCGGACAAACGCTGGCTCCCTCGGCCTGAAAGCGAGATGAGCACAGCAGCCCCATAGTCACCTTTGACTGGACTTAATTGTCCAGGGGTCCTCTACCTTTTACCTTTACCTTAAGAATACATACTAGAAAGCAAGTCCAAATGAAATAAAGTGTGCCTTTCTGGGTGAGTATGTGTCGGCCTCTGCGGCTTAGGGTGAAATAACCACCCAATCCCAAGCAAGCTTGCTTAAAATGCAAGCCCCATTGGACCAAGTCTAGGATTTCCCCTCAACAGGACGACGAGGAAGTCCCCAAAATTCAGCAGGGCTGGCTTACCCTTCTGCAGTAAGCATATTATTATCATAATTCAATTTATTACCCCGCTTTCAACAGCAGTTCCCAGGGTGGGTTACGATTTAAACCTCAAATTTAAAAGCAGTTAAAAACAGATTGCACTCACAGGAATAGGGAGGGGCCCTGAAAACATGCACCCCAGGTGTCAAAGGTGTAAAGAGGTGCATCTTCTGCATTCTCTGAAAGCTGAAGCAGGCAGATGCCCCTCTGCGGGGAGGGAATTCCACAACTTAGGGGGCTGCCACAGAAAAGGCCCTCACCTGTGCCACCACCCCAGAGTTTCTGAGGGACATGGAGCTACCAACTCCCCTCCTTCCATGCTGAGCTTACCACTGGGGAGGGTCTGTAGGGAATGAGATGGTCTTTCAGAAATAAGGTGGAATGTGGGCGCGCTTAATGTCATTTGGGCCTTTACAGACCCTCCCATGTGTCTCAATTTCCTAGGGACAGTCCTGGATTTACAGAAGCCATCCTGATTTCTGATTTGATCCCAGAATGCCCCGCTTTTCCTTCGGACCTCCCCATTTCCACCAGAGAAATGTTGGAGGGTCTGGAATCATGCAGCAGCCTCACCCAAGGAGATAAGTAACTATACAACCTTTTAGAAGACATCTGAAGGCAGCAGTTTTTTGGTGTTTAATGTTTTATTGTGCTTTTATATATGCTGGAAGCTGCCCAGAATGGCTGGGGCAACTCAGTGTGTGGGGTATAAAATAATAATAATAGAATAGGAGGTCGCTGTTTTCATTGAGGAAATGTTAGAGGACAACTTGAATTGGGCCCAGAAACAAGCTGGCAGGCTATGATTCGGAAATAGTCTATGTATGTAAGACATTTAAGTAAATTTCCTGACAGCGCCACCGCCGGACTTATTTTAAGAGTAAACAAGGCTAGATGGGCTCCAGCTGTAGGCTGGAGGGGCCCGGGCCTGCAGCCTCGCGGCCCACCGCTCCTAGGCAAGAGTGGCGCATCTTGGAAAACAAATTTGCAAAGTTGAAGCAGAAAAAGACGGGAGGCAGGCAAGCAGGCGGGTGTTCGCACCCTCGCGAAACTTTTCCCTTCCCTTGCAGCAGGCCGGCCTGTGGTGACTCTAGGAAGCACCGCCTTTTATTCCAGCGAATCGTCCCCCAGCTCCTACCAAGGTGAACTTGGGCAGCTGGCCGGCGGCGGAGTCCACACGGCCACCAGCACCGCGGTCGCTGCTGCCGCCGCCGCCGCCCTCGCCCTCCCTTCCCTTCCCTCCATCGGGCCATGTGCCAGGGAGCTGCTGGGGCCGCGAGAGGAGGCGCCCCTGGCTGCTTAGCAGGCGGCCTCCATTGGCTGGAGAGCAGGGCTGCCGCTCACGTCAAGGCGGCGCCCAGCTCCTTTGCAAAGCTGCCTCCGCCGCTGCTGCTGCAATTGCAGGGAGAGGAGAGATGAGATGCTGCTGGTGCTGCCGAGGTTGCCTTCTGCACTCGCAGCAGCGGCCGCAGCCCAGAGCTTGAGCTATGTGCATGATGATGCATGCAGCGCCGGCTTCTTCCCGCCCCATCCCAGCTGCACTGCTCTATAAGGGATTCCCGTTAGCCCAGCTCGCCTAAACGGTCCCCAGGTTGATTCACTCCTTTCGCTGGAGGGGGAGGGCGACGGAGGAGGAGAGGGGGCGGCAAGGAGGGAATGGGGGTGGAAAAGATGGGGGGAATGGCTGCTTCTGTCCCCTGCTCGGTAGCAGCAGCAGCAGGCACCGCCACCCCCCTGGGGGCAGCAGCAGGCAAGTCAATGCGGCAGCTTCTCCAGTGAGGGACCAGCAGCGCAGTTGCAGGAGGCAGCGGCTGACCTGAGTGCCTGCGCGCGCGTGTCTCCTTGCTGCCTTTCCGCGCCTCTCGTCTCGCTGTGCAAAGGTGCGAGCTAGGGAGGCGTCTCTCTCCAACCCCCGACCGCCTCCTCCCCGGATGCCCTCTAATACTGTACTACGTCTCAAGCATGGGAGCGCTAACCAGCCGGCAGAACGCAGGAGTGGAAGAGGTGGACATCCCGTCTAATTCCATCTACAGATATCCTCCTAAATCCGGTAAGGCTTAGCCGGGATGGGAGGAGGAGGAGCAGCAGCGGGGAGAGGCGAGGAGGGGAAGAGATCGGGGAACTAGCAGTGTGACGAAGCAAGGGCTGGACAGTTGAACTCCAGGCGGTAGCCGGGGGGAGGTCGCTGGATTTCGGCTTTGCACAAGCTGCCTGGGACGGGGATGAAAAGCAGGGCTTGCCTTTTACCGCACTGAAGCTGCTTCTTGGGGGGGGGGGGCGCAGCCAACGAGTTTTCGGAGAGTTTTGGTGTCAGTCGAAGAAGGTCTCCCATGCAAGTAGCTCGAGAAGGTTTGGCGGCCGAGAATGCGGGTTTCTTTCGCCTGGGTCGACCTCCTCTAAAGCGCTCCCGGTGGCATCTGAATTGAGATAGCAACATTCATGGCATCATGCTTGTTGGTAAAGAACCTTTAAAAAATACTAAGAATTCTGTGGTGTTGTTGTTTTTTTAAAAAAGCCGAGCCCAAATCCAATGAAGGATTGCAATTCCTTTTGGCTAGCTGTTCTATCTGCCTTTACTTGAGCAAAAAAACTCATTATGGTCCTGAATCGAGTTTTTTCAGCAGAGGAAAGTATTCCCCCTAAAATATCTGTGTCCTATGCCAACCCTTGGAATGTGGTTTTCGTACTTGGTACCTGTATTGACATTTTCACATGCTTGTTTATATTCTAATTGCTGTTTGGAAATATCCCATCCATCCTGCTGTCTAACAGTTTTTACGCTGTTGCTCGTGATGGAATGTTTTCCAGTATTGATGGGACAGGGATACTGGGTTACCGAAGCCACACATGTAGCATTAGGTGGGATGAAATCAAAGTACGCTACTGTACTTTTCTCACTCTCCTACATATAGGTGTAGAACTTCATAGTCTGCTTGTAAGTTTCCTCCCTTTTTTAAAAAAGGAAGCTAGAGGTAATGGTAGCTAGGAGAGACAGGATAAAATTTATCTTGCATGCAATGTGTTGGGTAGCTGCTTTTTTTCTTGACACTGTTCCTGTGCCTTTAACAGTAGTCTGGCATGCAGAAATTATGACAGGTTAATTTCCATTTTTTTTAAAAAAAAAGGTTTTCCTGCTCCATTTTTTGTCAGGCAGCTATTAAAGGAAGGAGGCCATGTGCAAAGGAAGGTACTTAGGAGCTATTGTGCATAAGAGAGGATTTGAGCAGGTAGTATTAGCCACACAGGAGTTGGGAAAACATGTAAGTGCCAAATATTCTTCATCCTGCCTTTTAAAGGTGTATACTCTTTGCGTCTGATCATTCTGGTTCTGGGGTCCCCAGTGTACGCGCCAAGGCTCCTCTGCCCTCTCTTCCTGTTGGCTTTTTTGTTGCATTTGGTTGGGTGGAGGGGCTTGCCTGTTTGAATGGGTGCTGCCTTCTTTCTTCTAGCTCATTTGTTTTGGGGTGAGTGTAAATACCTTGCCTGCTCAGGGGCGTTCTGAGCATCACCAGCTCTTCCTCGTGTTAAATGGGTATTTTTTTTTAAAAAAGCCTGTGAGCCTCAAAAGGTTGTGGACCCTTACTGTAGTTAATTACACAGGAGAATGCTTTGCAAAAATGGGAGCAAAACTGTACTGCGCATCCTAGTAACTTGTAGTACAGTAGTTGCATTGAGACACTACGCTACACAAACTGATAGTTTCATTTCTTATTCAGTTATCAGCATTCTGAATGCAATCCTGTGCACACTTAGAAACCCATCCCGTGGACCTCAGTGGGACTTAACATTTGAGTAAAACTTGCATAGGGTAGCCTTTGCTTGATTACTTAAGATTAACTCCAGTTTCAGTCATTGGGGCCTGCATCTGAATACAGTGGTACCTCAGGTTACATATGCTTCAGGTTACAGACTCCACTAACCCGGAAATAGTACCTCGGGTTAAGAACTTTGCTTCAGGATGAGAACAGAAATCGTGCTCCAGCGGCACAGCAGCAGCGGGAGGCCCCATTAGCTAAAGTGGTGCTTCAGGTTATGAACAGTTTCAGGTTAAGAACGGACCTCCGGAACGAATTAAATATTTAACCCGAGGTACCACTGTACATGTGCTTTAGAATGAAGGTGCCAGGATATCTTACTAATTATAAAGGGTGTGGTCTTTTTTAGCTGCTTTGCCTATTTATTACTGGAATTTTTAGAAAGGGAGCTGTGTATTTTTACTAATATTAGTGTAGCACATCAGGTTCCCTTGAAGTCATGTTTCTATTAATTATTTTTAATTGTGTGTTTTGAAGATTTAACTCCCATTGGGACAGTGTAATTCAAAACAAAAGGGGTTTGGTGCCCTCAGATACTCAGAAGGGCACCTATCTAACCCTTTTGTTTCTAATCCCTAGTGAGCAATCTCTGGAGTCTAGGTGATTCCAGAGTTCTTGTTGAAGCTCTGCACTAAGTATATTGTTAGGAACGAGTAGTGACTGTGTATGACAGTACCAGGGGGCTGGGACTGGTGCAGAGGCCAGGGGACATGCCTAAAGAAAATGCAATCTATTGAGGCCTCAGCATAACTGCTTCTTGCTTAAGCCCCACATTGTCTTACTTTCTTGAGTTCACTTGTCAAGGTCTGGGTAATAGTTGCTTTCATTTATCATTTCTCAGTTTAGTTGAAATCCAAGACCTCATATGGAGTGCATGTTGTGACCTTAGCTTTCACAATAGTTTCTCTTGGTGCTACAAACATGCTTGACTTACTTTTGAGTAAACATTCATAGTAGGGTTGTGTTGTGTGGCCTACTATGTTAAATAGGGCTTACTCCCATGTAAGCTTCTACAGAATTGCAGGTTTAGTTTGAATTTATATGCACACTTAACCGGAAGTAAGCTACATTCATTGTGGCAGGATTTACTTCCAAGTCAACATGTCTAGGATTGGGTTGTATGACCTGAGCTTTCTGTCTGTTTCCTTGATCCTAGCTGTCATTTAATAGCTGCTGAAAATATCAAAAGCTGCCTTATATTGAGTTAGACCATTGGTCCAGCTAACTCAGTACAGTGGTACCTTGGGTTACAAACACTTCAGGTTACAGACTCCGCTAACCTGGAAGTAGTACCTCAGGTTACGAACTTTACCTCAGGATGAGAACAGAAATTGTGCGGTGGCAGCAGTAGGCCCCATTAGCTACAGTGGTTTTTCATGAAGGGTTTTTAACCACTGCTCACTTCAGTATTTATCAGGACCATTTCTCTTCCGTTCGAGTAACACAGAAGTTTGAAGTCCTTTGTTTTATTTAATTTTCAAATCACAACTTTATGACCTTTTAAAAAAAGGGTTGTGTTTATGCTTGAAAATGATTTGTTTGGCAGTGGAGATTGTTAACAATAGGTGGTAATTTTGTTAAGCAGTTAGTTATCAAGTTAAGGTAAAAGAAAATGGGTCCTTAATGATGTCTCCATTGCCCAAATTACTTGCTGATTACCAGCAAGGACCTTTGCAGAGTCATTGTTAACATAAACTCGGTTTCTGTATTGAGAATACATGCCTGGCTTTTTCAGTAGGCAGAGCAGCTGGAATCGGTTTGCTAAAACATCTGCCTGGCTGTTGGCATTTAGCAACTTTTCTTCCACCAATTGGGACAGAAGGTGTTTTCTGAAAGATTCATAAGCATAAACAGATGATGCCTGCCTTTCCTTTAAGAATTTTTTTTTAAAAAATGGCCACACATTGGTATGGTGCCCTTTCTGAGGAGTTATGCCTTGTCCTTGATGGGCTGAGTGCGGTGGGAATGGCCTTTCCGTTTGGGCCATCAATCTCTTTAACGGCTGCTGGTCGTTTTCTTATTTGTGACTAGTTTATTTTTTATAACAGAAAGCTTTTCAGCAGCAGCTACCTCTTGAAAGAAAGAGCCTTTGGTGTGGGGAGAGTCATTCGGACGCATGAATAAGCATGCCAAGTGAACAGATCAGCGGTGTGCTTGGTGCTGTATAAAACACAGGCTGCACACAGTTCCTGCCCAGAAGCTGTGTCTGCGATAGGTTAATAACACATCAACCAAGAACACATGAGCCTTTACACCAGGGGAGTGTGGCTCTCCAGGCCTGCTTACCTGGCCCTTGGGACACTCCTGGGACTACACCCCCTCCAACCTGCATCCTTCTCTGGCCCTGATCCACACCCTCCTAGAATGTTTTTGGATGCTGGAAGGCACCCTTGAATTGTGATAGTGCCTCATGCTTGTCTGGATGAAGGATGGAGAGGTATGTATGTATTGTGGTGATAGTGGTGGGTATCACAGAATCGTAGAGTTGGAAAGGACCACAAGGGTCATCTAGTCCAACCCCCTCCAATGCAGGAATCTTTTGCCCAACATGGGGCTCGAACCCGTGACCTTGAAATTAAGAGTCTCATGCTCTGTCGACTGAGCTAGGTAGAAACCTTTGCATTCTGCATGTCTGCAATGTAGCCTACTGTGCGAAGGTCTCAGCCTTGGCCCCTGTCCACTTCTTTTGCCTATGGCCCTGCCCACTTTTTCCTCTAGCACCCCCCCCTCACCCCCGTCAAGGCTGCCCTCTAGGTAACGCAGCCCTCAAGCTAAAAAAGGTTTCCCACCTCTGCCCAGGCTGTGTGCTAAATCAAGTAAGATGCTTCAGGTGCCAAAGGGAGAGTGGGGATGGACTGCTACCTACCATTACCCACAGTCCTCTCCCGTCTAGTCTGACTGTGAAGCCACAAGGGTGAGGTTTATTTAGGGAGCATTGTTTTAAAGGAAGATGTTTTTAATTTACAGGGTGGGACGCTGCCAGTGAGGTGCTGAGCATCAGGTGCGCTGATGGCTGGCTGTGCCTAACTCCCCACAGGATGTGGGCTTGTTGGCAGAGGAGGGTTTAATCTCCCTAGGTGAGAGGTGGGGAGAAGGCGTCTGTATTGCCTCAGGTGGGAATGAGTGGTGTTTTTCTCCCTGCTTCTGTTTTATTGCGTGGACCTATTTTTCTCTGCATGATTATAGGTTGGTTAAACATTTGGGTGTTTTATTGAGGTCAGAATTGAGCGGCTGA